AGAGAGAGAGAGAGAGAGAGAGAGAGAGAGAGAGAGAGAGAGAGAGAGAGAGAGAGCTGTGCGTATGTGTGAAAGAGAAAGAAGACGGATGAAAGGATTGACGGCAGCAGTGCATATATTGTATATTTACGGCAATCAGTAGAGCGTCCCGTTGCGTAATCATGCGTTTAAGCGCAAGTCGCGCGATCACTGTGTGAGTGGATGTCCGGATGCGTAGCCTGAAGGCTAAGCGACCGGTTCCAAACGCGTAGCCACTGCGTTTTATCACAGGCACTTAGAACGTCTCAATAAAAAAAATAATGGTAAATAAACGAAATGTATTTACTACCAGTCATGTTTCTCTACTCTATTTCGCCTATTATTGCCGATAATTACTTGTAAATGTCGGTCAAATGCTCATCTGCAACACACAAGTACACCGCACGCTTGCCCTGTCCTTTGTTCTTACCTATTCCCGCTAGAGATATCTCGTGAAATCCTGCAGGTATTGTTCTCGCCGTGAAAATGTAAACCGGACGAGATGTCCGTTTATACACGAGTAATGGGGCGCATTGCATGCCGGCGTCCGAGCTCCGTTTCGAGGCCCACCAAGCCAAGCATAATGCGCGCGGGCATAACGTCACGCACATGACTACAGTGATTGATCAAAAGATCGAGTAGTGTCGTTAGGGATTTTCGGATGATACGTCCAGTTTACATTTTCACGGAGAGAACATTTCCTGCAGGATTTCACGAGATATCTCTGGTGGGAGTATGTAAGAACAAAGGACAGTTGTAATTCGAACAAGTGAACATTTAGCTACACATAGATACCAAGATGGAGGCTGTTTGTTGTGTTTCTGTTCTGTAGTCATGTGAAATGAAGCGAGCGTCGAGCGAATTATGCGATCACGCTTTCCTGCCTACTCTCTTATTCATGTTGTTTGTGCACAGGGCGTGCGTGCGGTGCACTTGTGTGTTGCAGATGAGCATTTGACAGGAAGTTTACAAGTGATTATCGGCAATAATAGGCTAAATAGAGTAGAGAAACATTAAGACTTTGGTAGTAAATACATTTCGTGTTTATTTACCATTATTTTTTTTATTGAGACGTTCCAAGTGCCTGTGCGTTTTATAAATGGCAATAACTTGTAAATGTTCTTAACCGGAATATTACAGTCAAATTGAACTTCTATCCAAAAAACATTTGAACTACCAGAATTGCTCATGGACTACCAGATTACAAAATCTAGTAGTCCATATGACTACGAAGTAATAAAGGTTCATTTCACACCCTGTAATGCTATGGGCACATGGCTGCCCATGCAACATAGACCCACCAATACACTATCAGGGAGCGATTATAATGTATGTAGGCTTGTTTTGTGATCACAAAACAATTACAATTAACTACTAATATGGCTCATTTATCATAATGGCTACACAAAATGAAAATAAAATTGGATCATGAATTTAAGTGTAGTTAAATGCATTAACTTTGTCTTATCACTATCAGAGACAGAGGATCGTCCATAATCTGCAAACTTACCTTTATACATTAATGTAATAGCACCTGCAGCATTCTGAAAAGGCACCCAGTAAGCATTCCCCTGTGTTCGATCTGGAAAAAGTTATCATTTGGCACAAAGTTCACTAAAACCATTAACATGAACAACTACATACATACGCTATAGTCATAAACGGTGCCTGACATTTGGAAAAAGCAGAATGTTTCAAATAAGCCACACCTATTAATATTATTACAATGCAACATAAAACGACCAGCTACAATTATAATACTTGTCCTGTGACCAGCACTAACATATATTAGTTTATTACAACGCATTCACACGTTACCAACAATTCTACATTATCATTATGCACCGACGTCGCAACTGTGGAGTGGAGCCTGGTTCAGGCACCTTGCCTTTCTCGACGAAAATATTCCAAAATGTAAACGAATAGATCCAGTTTACGATTTAACAAAGTTCCTTATTCTATCACCTATAGTATAAATAAAATGGGACTAAGCACCTTTATACATCTGAGCCAATGCTGTGGCACTGTTCTGAAAATGTAACCACAATTTCTGAGCAGCTAAGTCCCGTTCATTATGCAAGATCTCGTCCATGTTTGGCTGGGTGGCGACTTCAGTCAGACACTCCTGTTCCCAGCTGGTTACCCATCGATCTGCTCCATGGACACCATCTTCATCAAGTTCTAAGTCGTCATTCATGCTTCCCACTTTCACCTACAACTTCTAGACATTCAAAGGTGAAGATAGATAGAAAACGTAGGCATGAAATGGGGAAGAAAATCTCAAATATCGTTCTACGATGCGATTTGGAAACCAACTTTCTCTTACGACGCAAGCGCAGAAAAATTCTGGTGAGCGTTTCGTATAGACTGAGTCGAACAATGAAGGCTTATCTATTAGTAGCCAAAATTTTCAATATATAATATCAATAGATATTTAAACAATAAAATTTAAAATGCTTATTTGTGGTAGTAGAATCTTTTTATATCTGTATGTTAACTACAAGTATACAATATTCTATTATTATTTATTTGCCATGTGATTTCACTAGCCAAATATGTGCAAAACACAAGAACAGCCGTTTCCATCATGTGTTGATAGATTGTTTTGATTTCTGTCTTCGTTGCTGTGCTGTGCATGCGTGGAGAACCGTAGGTGAGATAAATTTTCTCGCTGAGTAATTGTGACCTTATTAGTTATAAAGTTTTAACGAATTGCGAACCCGGTCAAAAGTCACACGCATATATATGCACAGAGGATTGTCGGGTTATTAGTGATACAGACTACTCTACAGTACAGTACAGTAGGCCTACAGTCACACCCCAATTCGAATGCGTGTACTGTCACTGGTAGTGGTAGACCGAATAATTCTGTCCTATATAACCTTTTTTATATTTTGGTGAGGGTTATATTGGGACAGAACGGGTTTCATTGAAATTTCGTGAGATCGCATGCAAAATGCATGCGCTGCGAATGCGGCCCGTACGCCGCTATTGGCGCGAAAAAAAACCTACCGTCTCCTTCTACATGACTTTACCTTGCTACAGATATGTGTATACATTCACTTCAATCGTTATTCACTTCTTAAAAGATTGTTTTTCAGACACCCCGCTTCATTTAACTTTCGTAAATAACATTCGCCATTTACAAACAATCAGACCAATCAGAGCTAGTCTATCTGCCCTCCTGCAGCGCCACAGATACAGGCGAGCAAGGGCTCCTTGCAAGCGAGAACCAGGCTATTGTAACACTCGCTCTGATTGGTCTGATTGTTTGTAAATGGCGAATGTTATTTACGAAAGTTAAATGAAGCGGGGTGTCTGAAAAATAATCTTTTAAGAAGTGAATAACGATTGAAGTGATTCATGTATACACATATCTGTAGCAAGGTAAAGTCATGTAGAAGGAAACGGTAGGTTTTTTTTCGCGCCAATAGCGGCGTACGGGCCGCATTCGCAGCGCATGCATTTTGCATGCGATCTCACGAAATTTCAATGAACCCCGTTCTGTCCCAATATAACCCTCACCAAAATATAAAAAAGGTTATATGGGACAGAATTATTAGGTCTAGGCTCATAGTAGTCCGAGCCGACGCAGTCCCCA